TTTCCTTAGAGAGAGCTTCTCTCTATATGCCTCTTGTAAAGCTTACAAGACAAGCTTTTCAAGAGGGAGATCCCTCCATACACGTGTATGGAGGGGAGCAAAAGCTATACAGCTGTCTAAAAATATCTGCAAAAGCAGATGAACAGCAATCGGCCGGCAAAAAATGCCATCTTGGCCAAACAAAGTGCCGACCGGCACAAAATAGTGCTGACCGGCAACAAAGAGTGCCGGCCGGCAAACTATATTGCCGGTGGCAGCAAAAACCAGCCGGTGGCATCTAGCCACTGCCGGTGATGGGTGGGGATGGTCTACAAGCCCCACCTTGCCTCTCAAAGGCAAGATGCAAGTGTTTGGTGCAAAACCAGACACTAAACGGTCGAGTTCGGGGATCCTGAGGCAAGGCGCGCGAGCCGAGGCCTCCGGGAACTCCAAACGAACACAAACATGGAAGATCACCGTGTGTTCAAACGGTGACGTCCAAGTCTTGAGGACGGTCAAAAATGGGGTGTCTACACCTTGATGTGTGATCTGGTTCTGTAAGGGCGATTTGCCATTAGCGTCCCCGGTGGCGCAGGTTCAAGTCATTGAAATAGTCTCTGTACATCTTGCCCTCTCTAGATATCCTTTTAACAGAAGTTTTTTACCCTGGGTTGCCCATAATCATGTGTGAAGCACTACGAAAAACTTTTGGTGAAACCTATTAAATTGCAATTCTAGGCGACAGGCACGACAAATAGATAGAATGGTTAACCTTTGTATCTAAATCATCTACTTTCCTTTGTAACAGCAGAGGCTTTGGCTGAGCAAGTAACAAAAGAGAATTTGGACAAGGGTTTGATCTATCCACCATTCTCTAATATCAGAAAGATCTCTGGCCACATTGCTGTTAATGTGGCTGCTAAAGCATATGAACTTGGTGAGTTAGTAAGTGTACCTTTGGTTGCTTCATGTGTCTTACCTCCGCTGTAATTGCCCCTTGAAGCATGTTTATTTTTATGACTTTCACAATGTTTCCTAGGGTTGGCAATGCGTCTCCCTCGGCCTGATATTCTGGTGAAGTACGCTGAAAGCTGCATGTATACTCCCAATTACAGAAGCTTCCGATGAATTGTTGAATTGTGAGCAGAAACTATGGCTAGTAATTAATGTAGTGTGTTTCTTCGGAGTCTTATATATTCTGGTTTGGTCTCTCATTTTCCCTCTACATTCCAATCATGGTGTTTCGGAACTTTTGTGGTGTTGTACGCTTTAGAGTTTATATTAGAACCATGACAGTAAGAGTCGGGTTGGATGAAAGGTTGGTTTTAGTTTAAACATTGTCAACTTCAGTCTCTACTTGCCACTCACTACCATTTTAGTAGTCTCTGTGAAGTCACAAAAGATGTGGAAATATGGAGAAATTCAGACTGACCTGTGAAGCATCCGATGCGGTGGTACTTGTAGAATCAACCACTTGCCTCAATTGAGGACTTGGAATGCGCCGAGCTTGTCATTCTCAAGATGTGTTACTATCTTTTGATGCTAAGCTTCATTTGAATCGTATGATAGAGAGAGTTCGAAACAGAAGGATAAGAGAGAACGACAGAGCTGGACAAAAAATTTTCAGCCTAACTGCCTTCTATATGTAATTGTAATAGAATACAGTGTTTTTTAATAAATCAATCCCCGTGTTCTTTGGCCCAAAGCTGAATTGTATCTTCCCCCATTAACCTATTTCTCTTAGTTAGTTCTTAGTGGCCAATGTAGCAAATAAGCTGAGCTGAGCTCGTTTGTCTATCAAGCTCAGAAAAGAAAAGTTTGAGTTGAGCTCAGCTCAATTCTTAGTTGTGAGTTCTTAGTGGCCAATGTGGCAAATGAGCTGAGCTGAACTGGTTTGTTTATCTAGCTCAAAAAAGAAAAGTTTGAGTTGAGCTTGAATATTTATACTAATTACACTACAAGAAAAATAAGATTTAACGACGTCCATTTAACGACGTTTTTTTAAATGTCATCTTTTTCAATATTTAACCACGTTTGATAAACGCCACTTTTTTTAAAAAATAAAAAATTCAAACAATCAACCTTCTACATTCATCTCGATGAGACGAACTGAAACTTTTTAAAAAAAAAAATTAGAATTTTTGGTTCAAGGTCTCTCATTTTATGATTTTATAAGATAAAAGACATGCAATATTTTCATAGATCTTGTTTGGCAAGTGAGTTTTTAGCTTCTTTTTTTTGTTGCTAAAATCCATAAAAAGACAAAATATAATAAAATAGTCAACAAGATAAAATGTCATATCAAATCTATAATCATTTCATTTTTTCTCTCACAAATATCACATCTAACTACAAAAAAAATCAA